AAGAAAGAGCTTGTCACTGCTAAACTCCTTAATACTAGAAGTTGCTATTTAGGTTACAAGACCCACTGATCTAACTGGCATTTGTAAAATACAAATAAGCCATGAATAATGCTTTTTTCCCACTTCCTTTCTTTTGGTTGTTGGATTTTTGTTTTAGGATTTTTTTTGGTAGGGTTTTTGGCTTTTTTTTTTTTTTTTCCTTGCTGGGGTTTCTTTGGTTTTTGGGTTTTGGCTTTTTTTTTGGGGGGGTGGTTTTTTTTTTTTTTTTTTAATTAAAATCCACTGGTTTACAGTTATTATTAAATAACATTTCAACTTTTCCATTCTGGGAAAAGCACAGCAGAATGACCAGGCAATGACAGTCAATTACTGGTATGCTTTAAAGCCAAAGAGGGAGGAATTTCCCACACTTTTAACCAGAACAAACCTTCTTTTGTGTTAAAAGGACAAGAAGAAAAGTGAGCTAAGGGTGAAGACAGATTGTTGAAACAAAGTTAAGTGACCATGTTGCACATGCAGACTACAAAGCAATATTAGATGCAGGTTAATGACACATTCAAGATAGAGAAGTTCACGGCAGAGACATTAAACACTTTTTAAAACATTTCTCTTACAGCACATAGTGAAAGTATCAATGATAATTCTGAGGAAACTTCCAAGTCCATGACATTCCACATCCTTGTAACCGGATGCCCAGAACCTCTGCTTGAGTGACCAGCCATTCTCTTTAACTTTTCACTGGATAGCCCAAAGGTTTAAAAATGACTGAATCCAGGAAGCAATCAAGGTAATATAAATATCCCTCTCCAACTTCTTCCATGGCTTAGTTCTATAAAAATTAAATTTTATAAACAACTTTATGCACAGTAGTCAGTCATCATTCTAACTTGTTTTCAAAATTTGGATCAAGCAGGACATAAAGACATAAACAAAAGTAAGGATATTTACTGAAGAATGAAATCTCAATTTAAGAATGGAAACCTGAACCAAAAAAAAAAAAAAAATTAAGAAAAAATTAAAATCTAAGTTACAAACACAGAATTATAAATATTTGTGTCATTCTATTCTGTCAGAATCTGGCATAAAAACCAAAACCACAAAAAACTCTGTATTACTCCCCAAAGATCTCACACTAAAGATACCATTTCTGTAAGCACATAAAGAATCACAGAGATGCCCCTGTTCTTGCACTAAGTCAAGAATAAGACTCTTGGGCAATTACCTTACAGCAGCATATTTTCTTTGACAAGATTAGGACACCAAAGGGAACCACAGAAACCGGGAGAATGTGTCTTAACAGCCTTTGCAATTAATACTCAAACTATTTTTCGTCTTCACTTGCACCCATAATCAAGAACTGCTTTTCAAAGTAAAAACTCACATACTAATAAGCTCACATAAGCATCCTAACAAGTGTCTGGAAATGGTGACAAAAACTTACCATTCAACTAAGTAGCCCCACTATGAGTCACTAGCAGTGACTCACAGGGAATAAATACTTTATTTCAAGAGAAGTTTTTACATCACAATTTCAATTAAAGTGATCAAAGGTGTCAAAATCTTTCTCACTTCAATAGTGTTACCACAAGCAATGGGGCAGAGGGTTTGCCTACATGCATTTAACAAGACAAAGCCTTCCTTCTCCTGCAAACATCTTTTATGAGAATGAGCACAAGCAAGCCTTTAATATTTGAAGCTGCTACAGTAGAACATGAGAAAAGTGGAGAAGAGAATGAAACTTATCCTAAATAGCTGAACTGTACAAAAATAATTCTTTTTAACTCCTATCACATTATCACAGATTTTTTGAATGTGCAGTCTTGGTGCAACTGCCTGCAAACATATTTTTCTACTAGAGATGAACCAGGGGAAAAGAAGTTAGTTTACCTCGATTATACTGCTTACTACCTACTCTCTGTTTGCTGATACACTAGGGTGGGATTTTTCCATTTTCTGTGTAGCTGGACTACTCTGAACTAAATGTGCAGGAACAATATAGTGATGGCTTTCTGTAGCTGCAGTTCCATAACTGTGCTAACCGCTGTACCCATTTAAGCAGAATTTCTCAGGGTATTGTTGCTTGTTAAAAGGGGGTGAAGTATAAAAAAAAAAAGTCTTGGCTCCAAAAATACTAATACAACAGACTTTGGTACTCCCTATACATGCCGTTTTTTGGTAATATTACTAAAGACATTGTTTTTCTGTACTGAGTTAAAGCAAGTACATAAGTATAACACTCCTCTGAAGGCTAATACCCTTCAAAGAACAATCGGGGAGAAAAGACAAAAAGTGGGAAGAGAAGTACTGAAAACAGCAGCCTTCAAAGAAGCAGAGTATGAAGCCTCTCTTCCCATTACCAAAGGAATTCAGCAAAAAGAACCTCACAAATACCTATGAAAAAGACAGAATCTGCAAGACAATGTCAGAATAGCTTCAGAATGTTTGAATTTTCACCATGGATATTTTTTTATAAATGCTACAATACTAACTCCACAAATACCTGCCGTTGGTTGACTGCTAGGGTTTTAGGTGGTTTGTTTTTTGGAGTTTTTTTCACTTCTCTTACCTGGGGGAGTGGGGGAAGTGAGGAAGAACACACTTCTTGCACACTCTTTTTAAAATTACACAAATACCTGAAGAGAACTTAATCATCAAACCTCCTTTGATTCCAACAAATAAAAAGAAAAGACCCTATCACATCTTATACAAACAAACAAAATAATGAATTTTAATTCTTCTATTTAGGTATGCCCAAGTAGTACAGAAAACTATTAAGTTATCAGCTACTAAACCATCCTTTAAAATATAAAATAAACTCATGCTAGGAGAAGCATTTCTCAAAATTAAATTAACTTAAAAGGTATTTACCATTAACATGAAATTAAATCTTGAAATTTGCAGTGAAAACTAAACAGTTATGGAAGCAGACAACATTAAACCATTGTGCATGCCACAATTTCAATATACACCACTAGTGCCGTAATGGCTAAAGAACAAAAAAGAAAAAAGCATATGCATTCCTATCATTAAACATCAAACTGCAGTAACTCCTTTTTTAGCAGAGAAACCATTTGCTGCTAGGGCAAGTCTGACTCAGAGAAAAATCCCAGAAAGTAATAAGCCTTCAAACACAGCACATGTACTAATAAAATCCCCACAAAGAGAAGGAGTTATGCATTTAATAATTAGACAATTACCCTAATATAGCATATAGCTTACTATATGGTTTTCTTTACTACAAAGACTTAACTCTATAAAGAAAATTCCTTAAGAGGGAATCCAGTTTTCTAGTTTCTGCATCAATGAAATAATTTCAGTCTGCATAGTGGTGTTCATTTTTTAGTTCATATTAAATTTTAAATACAGTAACTTATTGGAAATTTACATGCTAGTTATTAGAAAAAATATTTTTTACATTCATAACTTTATCAGTGTCACAAAACTTCAAAATTTATCATTTCTTTTGTACTGTAGAAATTATCATCAAGTTTAAGTGAGATTAAATAATATTTCTAAGCAATTATTCAAAAGTAATAAAAATAAATTTTATCTGTGACCTTTTAATGTCACGTTTGAAGTATAAGGTTTAAATGCGTGATAAGACAAGCTTATAATAGAAACACTTCCACGTACTGGCAGAATTCCCAGCTATATCAAGCTGCATAAAACAGAGATGTAACAAAGCAGCAGAATGTTCCTGGCTACCACCCTGGCAATCTGAATCCAACCAATAGGACCCACAAGAAATGGATACCTCCCTTCTATACGCTACATAACAGATAGAGAAAGACTAGGATGATAACTATATGAAATGTTACCCTTATTCACCCCTAATAATTAATTAACACTTAATCTGTGGCTCTGAAGCCATTCAGGGCACTGGAGATTCTTTGGAGTGCCTCTCACATTCACACCACTGCAAACTGGTTCCGAAATTTTGACTACGTGGGTTTTATTTAAACCATGACGGAATTAAACAACACCCTCCAAAGACTTGCTTATTCCTCCAGATATAAGTAGGAAAAAATAATCTGATGATAAACTGATTTTTATGGAGTACAAATTTCAAATAGCAAACCATAACATCCTAATATACTACTGATAACTTCTATTAGTTTGATACATTCCACTTTGTCCTCTACTCAAGCTATTATTTACTCTGATGGTTTTTTTGTTGTTTTATTTATTTGTTTAATTTGTCAGGTTTGCGTGCTCAGAATAGGTGTACATTTGAACAAACCAATGAAAGAAAATTACACTTTCTAATTTCAGGTATGCAAGAACTATCTATCCAATGCTTCATTGTGAAGCAGAAGATGGTAGTGTTTTAAAAGATGTAGGTAGAAGAGCAGCATCATGAAGTATGTCTAGTGACTGAAATTTCCCTTTGAAGATACACAGCGAGCAGAAAGACATTCTCACAAATTAAAAGGTACAGAAGCTTAAACTCAGTGTTGCAATGTCAAAGAAGAAAAATTCATGTCATGTACTATTTCCGAAGGGCAAAGAAAATGAACAGACTTCTGGAGAATTCAGAATAGAGGAAAGACAGTACAAAAATACACTACACAAACAGTCATCTAAGAAGCACAAAGGCATGTTCAAAGTCATTGTAAAGTGGGCCTGGCTTAAAATGTTAACATAAACAACGTTTTAACTCTTGAAACATCCTAGATCCTACATCTGATAAATTTACTAACAATCACCACCATCTTTCAACAGTCAGTACAGCAGCAAACACCTAATTTCAAAATCATCCTGTAAGTAATTAAACGCTTTCCACTTACATTGATATATTAGGAGAAAACGAACAAAAATTGCTATAAGTTTCACAGCCAATCCTACAACTTCCATTAAGAAAAAACCTATCAAAAATAAATCAATTTAAGTTCTCCAATTAGAAAAACAAAAACCAGAAATACTGTTTTGATATCAAAAAAAGCCAAACTTGAACATGCCAACTGAATTATATAGATTATTCCATCTGTATTTGTACTTGCCTAGCAATACTTTAGCATCTTCCACATCAAAATCTCCATCTCCATCAGCATCATAAATCCCAAGTTTGCCTAGGAGCGCAAAGAGAGGAGGAAAAGACAATTCAGACATTTGTTTCCAACACAGTGTTTTCAATGTGCAGTGACTGTCAGTGCTAGATTGTTACCATATGTTTTTTAACAATTTATGTGAACTCGTAACCACATTTTATATTTCCTGGAAAATACTACAAATATTTCAAGTTCCGTTCTGTATCTCCTAGATTTGAGACTGAACACGAGTTTTTTTTCTGCACGTTCTGTAATTGCACACTTGACATGAACATGCTTTGCTTAGAATAAAATTTAGGCTCCCAAGGAATGTTCAACATGTTTGAGGGAAAATAAATAATAAAACAAAAATCAATCAAATAATCAGCATTTGTTTTCTGATTACGTGCTTCCCAAAATTCTAAATTCTCAGAAAGGAGATACATATATATAAGTACAAAATGTTTAGTGCCAAGTTAATAGAAAGTAAGCAGTCCACCTTCTAGACAAAGGAAAACATTCACAAACTTTATCAACAATTGTCTAACCTTCCATGCAGACGAAAAACGTTGTTCTTTTTTCAGACATGACTAATAAATCAGATTTCTCACTTTTATTTTTGAAACTGCAGCTCTACCAGCCCTAGGTATGTGCAAAAGGAGAACTCAGTTTCTACTAAAAGAGAATTTTCAGCACAGAATTGTGGTATCCAGGATCTGAAGTGTCCTGGGATCATCAAGTGAGTAGAGATGTATCTAATTATAGGTTTGATAAAATTCAGACATAACTTTTAATAGGATTAAAACTCTGCACAGTTTTCAGAAGAACTCTGTGTCCTAGTAGGTTGACAATATATTACACTTGTCATTCTCTAAATGGAGACAGCATTTTACTGCTAACAAAATAAATGAAATATGGTTAATATGGTACTTAGAAAACAGTTTTGTGGAATCAAAAATTCAGACTTGGGTCTAGAATAGTCAAAAATACATCCATCAGCATTGTATGGAAGGAATCCACTAGAAAGTATCTTTATCAGTTTATGGTTAAACACAGTAGACTGATACAAAAACATAATTCTCTAGAAAGAAGAATAATATCATCTTCAAAAGCATGATGAATGAGACAGATGAGAAATGACTGAGCTTCATGTCGCAACAGAAGAATAGTAACTCTCAAAAAAATTAAAACCATAACAAAATAAATCAAAACTTTCAGCCAAGGGACTGTAAAGCAAGCTTATTTCTCCAATATCCTACCTTGTAGGACCTCTGACAAGTTATAACGGAAATCCTTTGCTTTGGCTGCATGCATAGTAAAAATATGAAAACCATTATTTGCATCACTAGACCCAATTAAGTTGCAAACCAGAAGCTTCTCTTAAAAAATTGGTCCAGATCAAAAAAAACATGTTCCTTCAGATTTCTTAATTTTGTAAAATTACTAGTTGCAAAAGTGCATGTTAAATCCTACAACATCAAGTGCAACAGCCAACCCTGTGGACATACATCTTGGCATTACATACATAATACCCTTAAATAGTATATTAACAGTACTGTCCTAAAATTGTCATATTGAGATACCATTATCACCATTTTAAGCTTAAAACTGAGGTCACTGAACAGCTCACTCATGAGAGGATAACTGATTCGTTATTCTGACCCTACAGGAATCACAGTCCATCAGAGGAGGAATATCATTAGCTGCCCACTTTCAACCACTGCTGCAAGTTTCTGAGAGTTTATATTCAAACAATGCATATTTAGGTCACCTCTCAAGTGAACTACAGTATACATGTTACGAAGAGATCCTGAAAGATTATGCCTTTTCAGTTTTATGAGAATCCCGTTTTAACATCATAACAGCGTTCAGCATTAAAACATAGTTTTTGAAATACCTTGTTTATTCTTATCATGTAGATCATTTGCAAACACTGCAGTAGTCAAATCATCTGTCTAATCATTTAAAATGGCCTTCATTAAATGAGTATCATAATCTTATTAGAAGAATCTTAAGATTTAAAATTCTTACCTAGAACTTCTTCATAATCTACAAGTTCAAACCAGACAACTGCTACTGATGTCCAAACTCCCAGCAAAGCAATTACCATAAACCAGGTGAAAAATGAGCTTCCAGAGAGGCCTTCTTTCTTTCCATTCTTGCTTCCTCCATGCTTAGTCTCTGTTAAAATAAGACAAACAAGTAGGAAAAATGGATTTGTGTAAGAGTTAAAAAATTATTATTGAGGATATAATTATAAAACTTGTTTCTTATGACTATACAGAATACAAGACATTTGAGCAACAGTTTTTTAGTGGTTTTTGTTGTTGTGGTGGGGTTTGTTTGGGTTTTGTTCAGTTTTTATTTTTAAACTTTACCACTGTTACTTGCTTTTCATATCACTGGGAATTACCGTGGGAAGCTTGATGATTATCTAACCAAAAGCCTCATAAGCAACCGAACACCAAATGCCCCCATCTAACTTGTCTTACAACTTAGCCACAAATCCTGCCTTGCTCTCCCTCCCCCCTTCCTTGTGTATTTACACAGAGCTTAACATTTTTGAGATGCTTTGCATTTGTGCCCGCAGTTCCCAGGCTGCCACCAGAGGACACTATGGCCAGCAGAAAAGCTTCGCAAGAGAACTGTTTCTCCTGAATCAAGTTTCAATAGTACTTGAAATAGCTCAAAGAACCAACGTGACAATTCAAACAGCCTAAGAAAGCTCTAAAATCTGAACCATATTAAGGGTAAGACTCCAAGTTCAGACAGACACTTAACCAACTGAAAACATCTTCCCTATAGCTTGGAATCAAACAGAGATTCACTCTGTTCTGTTCTAAGAATCAACTTTTGCCAGTTCAGCCACACGCACTTCCAGTCATTCAAGCGAAATTATTTCTAATATATTTTGAAGGACTCGAGGAACTTTGTCATGAATATTGTGATAATAGAATAAGGTAAGGAGTTAACTTTATCATACTAAATGCAAGTCATGTTTGATGCATTTATCAGCACTGATCCTAGAAAAAGACAAAAAATACTCTCAATAGCTAAATATCAATGCAATTGTTTTTTACAATAAAATGGAGTAAGTCTGAAAGATAAGTAAGGAGAGACTGGTAACAGACTTATTTCTGTAACAGATACTATATATAAGTACTTTCAGACCCTGCTTGCCATCAGGTCTACAGCTGTAATAAACTGCCCTTTTATTATATTCACTGTGCTATATATCGGGTTCAGACCAATAAAATCTCCACTGATCCACGTCAGCTCTTACTCAGCTCAACATTTTATTGAAGAAAAAAAAAATCTTTTATTGAGACTACTCCCTTCAAAGATCAAATTTCATTTCTTTTCTACATTAAACACAAATGTCCAATAATATTTAGAGAGAAATTGAGACAACTCAGGCATGTATCGCTTGCTACTGCAGAGTCCCCTAATTAAATATATGCAATGTCCATATACTCAGCTCATTTTAACATCTCTCTTGTGGGAAATGCACAGGTAGCCTGGAAATAGAGGGAAAGACAAGCACTGTGCACCAGTACATTCAGAAATATGCTCAACTGTATATGAATTTACTTGTAGTACTCTTGAGTTGGAAATGTTAATATTGAGAAGTAAACAGTTACAGTATGTAACAGCAGGGCTTCACTACACCTGTGTTCCAAGGCAGTCATCGAAAGCGTCGTATGTACTTAAAATTAAACCCCAAGGTTAAAAGCATTTTAAAGGATTCCATGTTACAACTTTGTTCTGTAGCAAATAGGAAAGAGGATCTTACTGCATTTCACACTCGTTTATCTCACTGTTTTCTACTGTTTATTGCTAGTTGCCTCTGAGGGAAGAAGCTTTACTTGTTAGAAGAACAGGAAAATGAAAGAAAAGACAGCTTATTTAAGTAACTGAGCACAGCTGTTCACATTTTTTTCAGTATAAAAGACTATTTCATGCTAATTCCTCAAAAACAGATTCTGCTATAAAAATATGATTCACAACAGTCACAAAGGTACATTTTCATGCTGTGGCTTCCTACTTTATAGTAAAATTATTTTCAAAACTCTTGAAAAAAACAACTCAACCATGGCAGCGTGATCACGCAACACTTTTATATAAATGGAAGTTATGTAACAGAGAATGCACCTATGGCCTGCACAAATAACGCTACATACAGGGTCAGAAAAAAACACTGCATGCACTGAAGCTGGCTCAGAGCTCATTCCAAACAGTTAATTCTCAACTCAAGCCCTTTCCCTGCACATGCTGCCAGCTATGTCAAAAGTAGGTCACTTGCCATATCTGGTAAGCCTGTGCTTACACCACCAGATGTCTTTATGCAGACATCAGAAAGTCTTAAAGCGCGCTCCATCCCTCAATGGCAAATCTATACAATCCTGTACCTCACCCACTCCCTCATCAGGTCACTCCTAGACAAAAACGTACGAAACCCCTTTTTCTTTAGCTTACCTTCGCGACACCTAGCAATTTTACATACTCCAAAAATAACTCTGAAGTCAGATATTTGAAGACAAAACAATGTCTCTTATGTTAACATATGCTCTACTCGAGCAAAAAATGTTACAATCAACCACCTGCCTTAAACTCATGAAATAACCCTAGTCCAGAGAACATATAATCAAAGAGAACAGATGCAGGCTGTAACGCACACTAGAACAGCAAACTGACAAGGAAACACCAACAAATGACAGTAAGCCGGTTACTTTGTCGATTACAAAATCAGACATAAGTGTTACATGAAAGTACACATTTTCCATTTGCTCACAAAAAAGGTTAGGATTATACCTGTGTCGTCAGCCATAACATTAGTGCTCGATTTCCACAGACAGAGTGAGTGTGTATCTCCAAAAATTAATGCTGAAGGCAGAATAAGAAACGATTTATCTTCACTCCAGCCTTGCAACAGGAGCAAACAAGTTTCCTAAAGCCAGCTCAGCTGGAACCCGAAACTGGACCCAAGAGAAACCTCTCCTCCAAATCTATTTTTAGAGCAGTTATCCTGAGGAGCCAAACGCTTTTCAGAACTCATATGGCAATCTAGGTCTGACGACAATCAAATTCACTTACTCCTCCAAACAGAGCATCCTGGGTAGTTGATCCTTTCCCCTCCCCTTAATCCTCCAACATAAAAACAAGAGCAAATGAAACCGAGCACATTGTACTGTAGTATTTTTGCTGCAAAGCATGCCACGGTGCCTGAGCTCTAACAACATTAAATCCATGCTCATAAGCTGAAACACAAGTCCGGACACAAAGCTTGCCTGCTTGCATTTGTCAAGTTGGCCCTCATCCAAGAAACTTTCTCCATGTTGGCACTCCTCTACCAGGCTTCCCGAGTAGAGACTGCTCATTTGGAACTTGCTAACTACTTAAAGAGAAAAGAGACAACTAACTTCTATAGTTATAGTTATGAAACCAATCGCACACATTCTTGTCAAAAAATTTTTGGATCCGAACTGTTTCCTGGTACACATTGTATATGCTTCTAGCATACCCAAAGAAAGGTTACTGATAGTTTTGCCAAAGGAAATGTTGTTTTCCTAGCATGCAATATACCACAAGCCATAAAGTTAAACCAGGTCAAATTTCCAGTGCTTATTCGTTTTGGGTGGAAGTCAGAAACTAACTCATTTCTCATTCACAGCAACCCTAATAAAAACTTTACAGTCTAGCACTCTGTCCTTCTTCCTCCACGCTTCTTTGAATAACACAGCCAAAAGGTAGATGGAGTGAACAGAAGAATGTGACAGCTACTTTGAAAAACAACATACACCTCCTGTGGCTTCAACATCCAGCAACCAATTGCCAAATGAAATTCCCAATAGCTCAAGGGAGAAAAAAAGTGAGAAAAAGCACCAGTTTAAGACTTTTCAAATGGATGAAAAGCAACTACAGGCAGTTGATTCTATAACTAATATATCTGTTAATTACCTTTAAAGCCACTTGAACACATTAAACAGACCAAATGCTTTAAGAAAGACATCCTGACTAGTATATTTCTGTGACTTAGTTGATGCATAAGCAATTCAGAGCAAAACAGAAATAAAACTTGAAGACCAGAAGTTACCAAACATATGGAGAAATCAACAGCTTATTAAGGAAAATAATTTTACATGCAATGATATGCAGTCTATTGCATGCAAACCATATAGTGTTTTGACAGGCATCAGATTAGGCAATTTGTTGCAACTTCACTTCAGCTGCACCTGCATTTGCAGACACCAGATCTTAGTACAAGTGGATTCATAAAGCACTCAACTGATGCTGAGAACCCCAAGTCCATGTAATACATGGGGGGGGTTGGTCTGAAGTAGAACTTACCTGGTTGAATTTCCATAAATGCATAAGTTTTTGCTTCATTTCACTCAGACCTAAGCGAGCAAATTCCACCCAGGTACAACAGCAGATTGCATAAAAGCAAGTGAAGGCAGTCAAGAAACTGACTCCAAATGTACACTCCAAATCTGAACTAAGACATGCATGTTGACATTTAACCAAGTACCCACAGCTTTAATCTTGTGCCCTTTAAAAACCAACTGATTGCAAGAATGTGTCTTCCCAAGAAGTGACAAACATCTTTCTGAAAGGCTAAAGCTAAAACAGGGAAACTCTTCAAACTCATCAAAAGGAAAATGGCCAAGAGACAGATGGACCAACTGGGGGTGCACACAACTGATTACATACCCCATGAAAAACACACATTAACACACATCTTGAAAAATACAGGTTATATGTGTATCTCCTGGAATGTTACAGTTCAAAATACCAAATAACATAATTTTCATTCATTTTATGAAAGACAAAGGTTAAATTTAATTTATATCTATTTACAATACAATTTGAGATTGGGATAGCTAAGTCAGCACTCAAAACTTCTTACAAGGTCTTGTTCTGCTGTGTTCAAATGCTGTGACCATTTGCTGGCTCTTTTTGAAGCAATTAAATTGCTTCACTAACACTCAAAATTATTACTCTTCTCATTTGTATAACTATTCCAAAATTTCAAAACTATTTTCAAGTTAGTTTTGCTACAATTATGCAGTCCAGATATATTTACGTAATTTTACAAAAGCATAATTTACAGTCAAGACCAGCAGCATTAGTTCCATCTCTAGATCAAAATTAAAGTGCAAGCAAAAAAGTTTAGAGGAAAG